TGCCGCCAGGGAGCCACATTGCTCATTTCATGCCTCTGGGCTGCAACCTCCATTCTTCCTTTCCTTGGGAAGTGGTACCTTTCTGACCTCTTCTGTATCAGATTTGCTTGAAGTTGGCTAATGAATGCATAAGCTGTTCGAGGAGGGGTCAGGCAAATGAACAAAAGGATTATATAAGCCTTAATTTCTCAAGGAAAAGGGCTAACAGGACATTTAAACGTTGTTGTAGCCTCCCTTGAAGTTACAGAGCTTGTTAAAAATAAATACCCACCACATTAGCAGCTCGATAGAGTTGACTCTGCCGCATTTCAGTTTTCTAAAAACAGAACAGACTAAGAACCCGAAACCAAACACCATCCCCCACCGGCATCTCGAATAAACCACATCCTGTGAACAGTTTTCTGAAAGCCAAATTGAAAACTCAGCCTGATTCTTCAAATGAAGGATGAAGCCAAAAGGCAAACAAGGAATCTGAACTGAGGTTAAGTGGTTCCAACTAGAAGATGTCTTGTTTTAGAGCATGGTGAATAATCCTGTGCCTGTTCTTTCTCACCGGGGCAGGAAGGTCCTGGTTCTCTTACCGATGCAGTGACTTTCGGGGGTGTTGGTAACCCAACACACCACACAGGAACCAGCAGCATGTTAAACCTTTGCAAATATTGCTAGCATATTTGTTAGGTGTTTGTGGAGTGGAACGTGTGTGAAAGGTGACTTTTGAGTTAGTGCTTTATTCCTGTTGTTATAAATGCCATGCAGGCAAAACATTCCATAATGGAAGTTGTTGTTTTGTCACATTGGCACTGCTTGGGTTTTGTTGGGCTTTTTGTTTAATGAGGAATTCATAGTTTGAAAAAGAGCTGCAGGAGAAGTTGCATTTGCTTGCTTAGATAATTAGAGGCTGCTTCATGTCTCATAACTGAGAATATTTTTTGTGTAACAGCATGTGTTTATACCTGTGATAATCCCAGTGATGATATAAGGACAGTCCCATCTGTCTTGTTGACACGTAGACAACTTCATTGGGTTTTTTACTGAACACCATCTCTCTCCAAATGCCTTTGATTGATTTTGCAGTGTTCTCTGTAAAACATGCAGTAGACATGTTATCATGGACATCTAACACATTTGTGTAACAGAAATACTGTGCATGACCAGTGACTAGATAATTGAATGTCAGACTTGAGACTAGGGCTAGGTCACTGTACAAATGGTGATTTGTGAGGGTTGTCACTTGTGCTCTCTGAACAGCCTATGCAAAAATCTTTCTCTGCAACCCTAGAAAGGTTTGAAAGACACTGTTTTTATAACCCAGGATTCAGCTGGTAGCAACAGCAAGTGTTCAGTGATGGAGTAAGGACCTGTAGCTTCCAAACCAGCACAGCTGAGGCACAGAGATCACAGCCAGCTCTGTCACACATCAGTAGCTCGGGGAGAAAAGGTGGATGCACAGCTGGAGGCAGCAACAGCTTAAACTGGACAGATCTGTCCTTCTTGCAAGGTTTTTTTGCCCAGGCTGAATGTGAATATACAGTAGCACACCCTGAGAAGCTGAGCCACAGACATGTTTTTCCTGTCCTTTGTAGGCCACTTAGGCCTCGCCGTGTTTGCCAAGACAAATTGTCCAGCAGAGAATGTTGTGTAGAGTCATCAGCAAGCTGCAGTTGGGGATGACCTCGGGAGATCTCACACCCTAGAATGGCTCCCAGTGCATTGATATTTTTGTTATTGGCTCCAGTAGTTTTAATTTGTCGCAAATGCCACTTCTAATGTTCTGATACTTAAAGTGGGAAGTATCGTTTGCTGTGTTTGGTGTGGCTGCGTTAAGGCTGATAAGTTAGATGTTGTGAATGTTTATGGTTGAAAGTTTGGTTTTCTCTTCCGGTTACGTGCAAATTCTTCCAGTATTTTAGTTTCTTGTAGCATATGAGATGTTCAACTGATCTGCACATCTGCAGTGTTTTGTTCTCTGCATTCATGGAGAACTGGGTTATTTTTAACCTTAAAGCTTAAATAAACTAACAGGAAATAAGTGTTTCGCTCACATGGCATACGAGACTCATTTTCAGTTTTCAACGTTCCTTTTCAGGCTAATGGATACAGCTTCATCAATATTGATCACGGACAAGCAGTATCTTTGCTAAAGACTTTTCAGAACGCAGTGGAGCTCATCATTGTGCGAGAAGTTTCTTCATAAGTTCCTTGGATCGTGGGGATAAACCAACAAGATTCATCGAAGGACTGTGGGGAAACTGAATATTTTGCATATTTTTATACGTTAGAAGAACTCGAAAAAGAATTATGATCAAAATTTGTACAGGAAATACTGAACTTGTGGTTAAAGGGGGAAAAAAACCACTGTATAGATCGTACAGGAAATAATTTTGGAAGCACGTATGGTGAATAAACTCGTTTTTAAGCATTATAGCAATCTAAGGATCACTCCTCCAAGAACAAACCTGTGTTGTTTTTTTGTACAGATGGTAGGTTTATTTTTGGATAATTCATACACATTACTAAACTTTGTGCAGGGCTTCGAGGAGCCTCAGTTGTAGCCCGCGGGCAGATGGCAGGGCTGTCTGTCCTGTAGCTGTTTTATTGCCTTTATTTTTATTCACCAGATATTAATGTGTTACGCTGAACCACTCGTGTAGATACGAACAGGGGATATTGAAACGTTGGCTTTGCTATGTGCACATTGTATAGATGAATGGGTAGATGGAAGGTGGTGCTGGTTGGGCAGCATAGAGGTCAGGTGAGACAATTATCTGCTATCTAAGTCTGGATTCGGGAAGGAGGGAGAAGTGTTTAGTCCTGGAGTTGTACGTCTACCATTAGAAAATGCAATAAAAGCTTACGGTGTTTTTTTAGGAAGACTGTAACTACAAATTTGTGACATTATACAGGATTTGTTCTTAATGTAGTCATTGAATATTCATTTGCCACATGTGATTCATGTTTAGTTGGGTTTTCTCTCGCATACAGAACTCGTTTCAGCCGTACTGTGGAAACGTGCCCAGAGATCTTTCTCTGCCATGGAAATCCCCAATTTTGTGGAAACGGTGATACTTTTGTCTTTTTAGGGGGAAAAAAAAAGGACTCCATTTTAAGCTTACGGATTTAAAAATGAAACTGAAATGGCCAGTTTTTAGGGTTGTTGCCTGTAATACCTATTTAAACAGACACAAAGGAGGAAGGGTCGAGAGAGACATCTCGGGTTTGTTTGGCCTTTGCATTGCCTTGTTGATCAAGAAGGAAACAATTCGCATGGAGCTAGTAACCAAAGCAAGTTTGTGCAACTTTGAGCAGTGACGGAGAGCTGAGATGGAGAGCAGGGGGAGGGTGTGCTTACAACCCACCAGTGCGTAATGAGGTTTCTTAAAGGGCTGTTCCTACAGGTAACATTAAATGTGAACTAGACACTTCAGAGTCATTAAAGGGTTTCTAACTGCATTAATGTAACAGTGATTTACCACAGGCTGCCTTTGTTCCTTATTACTGTACAAAACGTTCAATTATGCTTCTGTTAATTTTG